TCCCATTTTCTGAAATTCACCCCCACCTGCCATTACCACCTCCTGTGAGACGTTGGCTGCCTTCTTGGGGTTCCCGAGGAAAGAAAGCAAGAGCTTGTACATTACTTTAACAATTCAAAAAGTCTACTAGAAATCATACATTTTCCTGAAATAAGGACACTTAAGCTAACTAAAATGTAATTTTTTGCGAATATCAGCTCATATTTTAGGAACTCACTTCAGAGATCAACCCAACAGAAAGTTTTCTCTGATTCCCCCACGGGCTTATTCTCTAAGACTCTCTGCATGCTTCTAATATTGTTTACTTTTATTATTTATTCATATGTCTGTCCCCCAACTGGACTGTAAATTTTGATTTATTCATCTTTCTATCTCCAATTGGCATATATAGTAGTTGTTCAATAAATGCTTGTTGGATGAGTGAAGACTACATGGTGACTACCAGAAACTAGACAAATTATGCATACATCTAATTAATACAATTATCAACTGAACTAGTACTTAATGCACAAAGTTTGATAAGTAATTCTTGGGGTATGTGGGAAAATGAAAGTTTGATAGACAATATTTGGGAAAATTAATATGTTCTTTTCTTTTTCTTTGAGATGAGGTCTTACTCTGTCACCCAGGCTGGAGTGTTGGTTGCAATCTCAGCTCACGGCAACCTCTGCCTCCTGAGCTCAGGTGATCCTCCCACCTCAGCCTCCCAAATAGCTGTGACTGCAGGTATACACCACCACACCTGGCAATTTTTTGGGGGGTAGGTAGAGATGGGGTTTCTCCATGTTGCCCAGGCTGGTCTTGAACTCCTGGACTCAAGTGATCCTCCCACCTCGGCCTCTCAAAGTGCTGAAATTACAGGCATGAGCCACCTTAGCTGGCCCAAAGGAATTCTTAACAGCAAAAAAAATCAGGGCTTATTGAACTTTAACATTACCTAGATGGGAAAGGTTGGGATAAATTAGACTAGTTCATGATAGTCTGGACCTTTCAGAGGTCAAGGGAGCCCTCGACTACTTTTTTTTTTTTTTTGAGATTATTGCTATATTAAAAAAAAAAAAAAAGAGGCCGGGTGTGGTTGCTCACACCTGTAATCCCAGCACTTTGGGAGGCCAAGATGGGTGGATCACGGGGTCAAGAGATCAAGACCATCCCGGCCAACATGGTGAAACCCTGTCTCTACTAAAAATACAAAAATTAGCTGGGTGTGGTGGTACCCACCTGTGGTCCCAGCTACTTGGGAGGCTGAGGCAGGAGAATTGCTTGAACCCAGGAGGCAGAGGTTGCAGTGAGCCGAGATTGTGCCACTGCATTCCAGCCTGGTGACAAAGCAAGATTCCATCTCAAAAGAAAAAAAAGAATTACAGAATTACAACTGTGACATATGGTACATGTGCACATTTCCAAAATTGACAACTTTAACAGAAAAAGAAGAAGTATAGGCAATTGTGCTACTTACAAGATAAAATTTTATTAAAATGTCAAATATTATTTCAAAGGGCAAAGCAGGCAACATGAGGTGCATATCTGGCTATGAGATGCAAATGTGAAATTTGGAGGTGAATGATGAGCAGCATCTTTTTTCTTTTTTTTTTTTTTGAGACAGAGTCTCACTTTGTCGCCCAGGTTAAAGTGCAGTGGCACGATCTCAGCTCCCTGCAACCTCCACTTCCTGGGTTCAAGTGATTCTCCCACCTCAACCTCCCAAGTAGCTGGGATTAAAGGCATCCGCCATCATGCCTGGCTAATTTTTGTATTTTTGTGGAGACAGGGTTTTACCATGTTGGCCAGGCTGGCCTTGAACTCCTGAACTCAGTTGATCCACCAACCTCTGCCTCCCAAAGTGCTGGGATTACCTGCAGGAGCCACCGTGCCTGGCTGAGCAGCATCTTTTATCAATGCGGTTAGTTTTCTCTGTAGTTGCATGTGTAACTTTATCTGGATTTAATATCAAAAGTCTAGATCCCAGGCCCTCTCTAAATGTGACGCCTGGCCCACGTGGTCTCCCAGCACTTCCCCTTTCCAGTGCTAGGCCGTGATGATGAGACGGATATTGCAAACTCTAATGTCATTAGAAATACATTACCATACATCTTCGGAGCCTGTCACTTCTACAGCTGGCTACTCTTTTCTGTTGATTTTTACTATCTTGAATTTGAAAGCAACCTCCAACTTTGACAGCATGTTCTGTAAGTCCATCTGCCTCATTCATGATCAACCCTTAAAGGAGTCAGGCCTTCTAGAAGGCAAGGGGGAAACAGCAGTGATTGCAATAACTCCCCTTATCAGATGAGGAAGCTGCAAAAGTGTCCACACTGTTCCTGTAAGCCGCTGTGTTTGGCTGCTTCTGTCTTTACCCTGTTAACCACCTGGCAGGGCACCCTGGCTGTTTTGTTCGAGAGACAAAGGGGGCAGGTCCTTTAGGGGAAAAAATAAAATGGCCAGGTATAGTGGCTCACGCCTGTAATCCCAGCAATTTGGGAAGCCAAGGCAGGTGGTAATCATTTGAGGTCAGGAGTCACATGACCAGCCTGGCCAACATGGTGAAACTCTGTCTCTACTAAAAATACGAAAATTAGCTGGGCTTGGTGACAGGCACCTGTAATCCCAGTTACAAGAGGCTGAAGCAGGATAATCACTTGAAACCATGAGGTGGAGGTTGCAGTGAGCCAAGGTAGTGCCACTACACTCCAGCCTGGGCAGCAGAGAAAGACTCTGTCTCCAAAAAAATAAAAAAAGAGAGAGAAAGAAAAAAATAAAGTGAACGTTGCTTGCTCAAGCACAATACCTGCCACTAGCACAAAAAAGCGTAGTCCAAGAAATCAAGTCTCAGAGGAGATAAAAATGTACACAAAGAAATCTTTTATTTAAAATTTGTCGTCTATGAATAATAATCCAAGAATGAAGTCCCTGAAAAGAGGTGAAAGCTTTCCAACGTCCAAAACTCTCAGAACACTGTAAATTGAAACTAGAGGCACACTTCGCACACATCCTCGTGTGTTATTCTAACCCACATGTTCTGAGCTCCATGGGGGTGGCCAGCCTGGGGCCAGCTGTGTCCAAGGCTGACTCGTCCTCGTTCTCTCCCATCCTGGGGGAGGCAAACACTTCAGTGGCCGCTTTCAATACCAGCCATCAATACACAATGGGTAGCCTTGGGGGCCGTGGGAAAAAAGGTCAGGCTTCTAGGTTCTGGTAAATTGCACTCAAGTAGTAGCCAGGCACGTTGGCTGCACCTGTAATCTCAACACTCTGGTGATCCTCAGGCAGGAGGACCACTTGAGCCCAGGAGTTCAAGACCAGCTTGGACAACATGGTGACATCCTGTCTTGAAAAAATAATAATAAAAATCTAAAATTAAAAAATTCAAGTGTACTAAACTACTGAAAATAAGTGTTTTAAAAAGTACTCCACATTTTGAAATGCACAGAAACAGTCTCCCCACATTCTGATATGATGAAGAGGGAGAAGAAGTTTTTTATATCAGCTGTTGAAGATGCTTTAATGAACATTCCTTTTGGCAAAAGTTGAAGAAGCCGCACTATTTCAAGTTACCAGGAAACGGGCCCATCCCAAATGCAGAGAAAGTAGAAGGGCAACGTTCTGTGCTGCACCGCTCCCATCTTTAATGTAAAGAAGCCCCCCCCAACCTCTGCAACACACACACACAAACACAGGAACACACGAGCGCACGCACACATCACCCCCGGTCCTTAGACACTCTCTGCTAAGCCCTTTCAATAATTACATATAAGTGCTTTATTTATATTTCTTCCGTTTCCCCACTCCATTCCAGGAATCTTCCTAAAGAAAACCTCCTCCCTTGTAGTCAGGATATGAGAGAAGAATGCAAGGAATTTGAGGCCTTCTGCAGGGGCTACAAGTTGAATCAGTCCGGTTTCCCCGTTATGAATTCAGGTGCAAGAAAACAGACTGATCAAAGTTCCCCAACGCAGAAAACACGCACATGCTGGACAAGAAATCACGCTTTGCCCAGGCAGAAAAGGCAGGCTTTCTGTGCGCCTATGTGAATAGCCCGGCTTTATTCTTATGAGTAGGACCGCGAACCCAGCACCCAGCTGCAGTTTTGCCTTTGATTACTGTCCCCGAAAGGCTGGCTACTGAGCACTCTCTAAAGAGAAGTAGACCGGATGGTGGCCGGCGTGGCCAGGGGACTCAGCGGCAACACCTGGAAGGCGAAGCTGACCTTCTCACCTCCGCGGAGACCAGTGTTCCAACACAGGTCTTCTTGGAAGGAGACCCAGGCACCCGGGGGTACGCAACTGCACCGCCCCCTGATCCCGCCTGCGTGCACGGTGCCCCGCAGGAAGCCCCTGCAGGGCGCACGGCTGCAGGCTATCCGACGATAGTGCAGGCCTCCATGGATACCCGCTAGCTCCCCTGGGGCGCAGCAGCCTGGGGCATGGGGGCGGCTCTGCAGCAGGTGGAGGCCGGGCCGTGGGGAGCTGCAAGCGGGACACCCGCCCTCTTAAGGCTCTGCCCGCAGCGGCTTCAAACCAGTGCACGGATGCCAACGAGAGCCCCTTTGCGTCTGCAAACACAACTTGCTTCTTGGGTAGCTGGGGATCAGGAGGTCGTGCCGGGCAGGGGCTGGACAGCCGAGGCCGCTGTTCCTCTCAGGCAGGCTGCTGGGGCTGCGGGAGCGGTGCGCTGCGGCGGAGGCAGAGGTGCCTAGGGAGGTGCGCTGAAGGCGGCACAGGGACATTGGCAAAGGAGAAGGAAGCTCTGATGAGAGCGCAGAAGGACCGCACATTCCCACCTGCATCCCAACCCGCCCTTCGCTGCGCTCTCCCTGGCTTGCCCACCCCACGGTATCCCCTGAAACTGGAGAAGAGGCACTGGCAAGAAGGGAAGGGGAGCCACGTGGCACTGTCGGTTGCTGGAGGCCGGCGTGCTTACCCCACTCAGCTCCAGGCGGCAGGCGTGGCAGGGGTGTGGATGCTCCTGTCTGAGACCAGCTTCCCAGCGGGAATTATTTATTTGCTGTCGACTCCTAGAGGGCCAGCCGAGCAGAGGCACTAGTCCCTGGAGGCGGCCAATCAGAAGAGCCTTTCATGATTAAACTGTGGGTTGGAGGAAGAGGAAGGAAAAGGATGTGGCCACGAGTGTGAATCAGTAGGTCCCAGCTACTCGGGAGGCCGAGGCGGGAGGCTGGCGTGAGCTCAGGAGTTACCAGACCAGCCTGGGCAAGATGGCGAGATCCTGTCTCTAAAAAAAAAATCACAGTATAATACTGATAAGTAGTGTGATAAGAATAAGACACTTTGCCTCAGGCCCCCAGCACGTCGTCCTCGGCAGCACTTGGGATCATTCTGGGGTTCCCCAGTGATGGGAGTCTGTGATTAGGGCAGCAGGGACAACAGGGGCAATGTTGAAACTGGAAACCCTCTCAGCTGTGGGACAGACAGGATTTGTGCTTGTTTGTTTGTTGTATTTATTTATTTATTTATTATTTTTTAGCGACAGAGTCCCACTCTCGCCCAGACTGGAGTGCAGTCGCAAGATCTCGGCTCACTGCAACCTCCACCTCCCGGTTCTACCAATTCTCCTGCCTCAGCCTCCTGAGTAACTGGGATTATAGGCGCCTATCCTCATGACTGATTAATTTTTTCTATTTTAGTAGAGACAGGGTTTCACCGTGTTGCCCAGGCCAGTATCCAATTCCTGAGCTCAGGCAATCTACCAGCCTAGCCTCAGCCTCCCAAAGTGCTAGGATTACAGGCGTGAGCCACCATGCCCGCACTATTTGTTGTATCTACTTATTTAATTATTTTTATTTTAATAGAGACTTGGTCTCACTCTTGCCCAGGCTGGTCTTCAACTCTTGGGCTCAAGCTGTACTCCCACCTCAGCCATCTAAAGGGCTGGGATCACAGGCATGAGCCACTGTGCCCAGCCCAACCAGTAGCCTTTAAAAGTTGCCCTTTTGGGCCAGTCTAGGTGACTAACACTGGTACCTAGCACTTTGGGAGGCCCAGGTGGGTGGATCACAAGGTCAAGAGATCAAGACCACACTGGCCAACATGGTGAAACCCTGTCTCTATTAAAAATACAAAAATTAGCTGGGCACGGTGGCTCACGCCTGTAATTTCAGAACTTTGGGAGGCTGAGGTGGGCAGATCACTAGGTCAGGAGTTTGAGACCAGCCTGGCCAACATAGTAAAACATCTCTACTAAAAATACAAAAAATTAGTCAGGTGTGGCGGCAGGTGCTTGTAATACCAGCTGCTCCAGAGGCTGAGGCAGCAGAATACTTCAACCCAGGAGGTGGAGGTTGTCTCAAGCTGATAACTGCCCGGGTGACAGTGTGAGAACCAGTCTCAAAAAAAAAAAAAAAGAAAGAAAGAAAAGAAATTAGGTGGTCGTGGTGGCGGCCGCCTGTAATCCCAGCTACTAGGGAGGCTGAGGCAGGAGAATAGCTTGAACCTGGGAGGTGGAGGTTTCAGTGAGCCGAGATTGTGCCATTGCACTCCAGCCTGGTGACAGAGAGAGACTACATCTCTAAATAAATAAGAAATAAATCTTGCCCTTTTGACCAGGCGTGGTGGCTCACACCCTAATCCCAGCACTTTGGGAGGCTGAGGCTGGTGGATCACTTGAAGCCAGGAGTTCAAGACCAGCCTGACCAACATGGAGAAACCCCCGTCTCTACTAAAAATACAAAATTAACTGGGTGTAGTGGCAGGTGCCTGTAATCCCAACTACTTGGGAGGCTGAGGCCGGAGAATCTCTTGAATCTGGGAGACAGAGTTTTCGGTGAGCCGAGATCAGGCCATTGCACTCCAGCCTGGGCAACAAGAGCAAAACTTTGTCTCAAAAAAAAAAAAAAAAAAAAAAAAAAAAAAAAAAAAGTTGTCCTCTTCCCATCTTCATCTTAATAAAAACAATCAAACTTTAAAATAATTGTCAATATGATAGGTGAAAAAAGGCATCTCATGATGGTTTTGATTACATTTTTAAAATGGCAGGTAGGGTTTTTTTTCATATATCATTGTCATTTCCATTTCCTTCTCTGTGAATGACATATTCAAACCTTTTGCCTATTTTTAAATTAAGCCATTTGTATAGTTTCAGTATTGTAGGTAGTAGTAGCTCTTGGTCAATTAATGATAGTAAATGGCTTCAAACCTGTGCACCACAGCCCCTTCGAATCAGCAAGCACAACTTGCTTCTTGGGTTGCTGGGAATCAGGAGGTCGTGCCAGGCAGAGATTAATGGTATCAACCAAATGTATTATCTGTTTGGAAGAAAATAAGGGTAGACTCCAATCTCACAACAAAAATAATTGAAGAGCTTAAAAAAACCCCTGTAAATTATAAGGAAGAATTATAGAATAATATTTGCATAATTTGGAGGTGGGAGAAATTTTACATGGCACAATAAACAAAATAAACAGATAAAAAAAAGACCGACCAACCAAGAAGATGTTACTTCTTCTTGAGTCTGTTTTGCTTATATTTTCTTAGAAAATCATCCATTTCCTTTAAATGTTAAATTTACTATGAAGTTATGTGCTGAGTTATTCTAGTTATTAAAAAGCCTTGGCTGGGCGTAGCGGCTCACCTGTGAAATCCCGGCACTCTGGGAGGCTGAGGCCAGGGTGGTGCTTGATCTCAAGAGTTCCAGACCAGCCTCAGCAACATGGTGAAATCCCATCTTTACAAAAAATACAAAAATTAGCCAAGTGCGGTTGTGTGTCCCAGTTACTCCCAGCTACTCAGGAGGCTGAGATGGGAGGACTGCTTGACACCAGGTGGAGGCTGCAGTGAGCCGTGATTGTGTCATTGCACTCCAGCCTAGGCGACACTGCCCTTTCATTATTCCTAATATGCTTTATATGTGTTTTCTATTTTTTCATGGTCAGACTTGAGGTTTCCTTATTTATTTGTTATTCAGTTTCTTAGGCATATTGATTTCCTTGTTCCTCGTTAATTATTTTGTTTTCATTTTATGATTTCCCCTTTCATTTTTCTACTGTTTCTCCCTTCTTCAGTGGAATGCTCTGTTTCATTTTTAATCTTTTGTGTTTCCCAAGAAATGCATTTGAGATTGTATATTTTCTAAAAGAAAACCTATACGTTTTAAGACAGAGTGCTTTATTGCTAAAACAGGCTCTCATTTGCATATTTGTTTTCTCTTTGACACAAGAATTATTTTACTATAAAAATTTGTAAGAGATTGGCCGGGCATGGTGGCTCATACTTGTAATCCCAGCACTTTGGGAGATCAAGGCAGGTGGATCACTAGGTCAGAAGTTTGAGACCAGTCTGGCCAACATAGTGAAACCCCATCTCTACCAAAAATACAAAAAATTATCTGGGCATGGTGGCGGGTGCTCATAATACCAGTTACTCCAGAGCTACTCTGGGACACAGAGCGAGACTCCTCAAAAAAAAAAAAAAAAAATTTGTGAGAGATCCTGTTGGGAGGAGGATATCTTTTTCATGTTGGCCTTAAGTTGCTTTGTCAGCCTACCTTCCCCTTATGTAACTAATACTTATGGATCCCTGCTTTTTGCTAAACAATGTGTTAGGTGCTGAAGTACAAAGGTAAACAAAACTAGTAAGATTGCTGACCACAAGGGTCTTGTTTTCTAGCATTCAGAGAGTGTGATTTTGTTTTTAAGACAGAGTCTCACTCCTTTGCCTAGGCAGAAATGCAGTGGTGCAAGCTCAGCCCACAGCAATCTCCGCCTCCCGGGTTCGAGGGATTCTCCTACCTCAGCCTCCCGAGTAGCTAAGCTTAGCCGTCACCACGCCCAGCTAATTTTTGTATTTTTGGTGGAGAGGGGATTTCACCATGTTGGTTAGACTGGTCTCTAACTCCTGGCCTCAGGTGATCCACCTGCCTCAGCCTCTCAAAGTGTTGGGATTACGGGCGTGAACCACCACGCCGGACAAGAGCGTGATCTTTATGACCTGTATTTTGGGGAAATTTATTGAAATTTTCTTTCGTGGCTATAAGTGATCCATTTTTATTTTTTTTAAAAGTGTTTTCTCAATTTGCTAAAATGAAGTTCTCTCACTTCCCAAATCCTGAGAAAGGAGTTTTCATGTCTCCTGTGATGGTTGGGTTTTTCTCAAATTCTTGCGTTTCTGACAGTTCAGGGTTTCTATATTGTAACACTATGTTGTTTGGTAGGTGAGGGCTCACTACAATTATTCTTCTTGGTGATTTTTTTTCTTATATCAATGATTGATAAACCTCTTTATCCCATTTAATGATTTGCCTTTAAGTTTATATTGATTTTTCTATTTGATACACCAGTTTTGCTTTGTTAATATCAATCTTTTTTTTTTTCTTTTGAGATGGAGTTTTGCTCTTTTGCTCAGGCTACAGTGCAGTGGTACATGGTGCAATCTCGGCTCCCTCCAACCTCCACTCCCTCTCCCTCCCGCCCCCCAAGTTCAAGCGATTCTCCTGCCTCAGCCTCCTGAGTAGCTGGGATTACAGGTGTGTGTCACTTACGCCTGGCTAATTTTTTTTGTATTTTTAATAGAGATGGGGGTTTCACCATATTGGTGAGGCTGGTCTCGAACTCCTGACCTCAGATGATCCACCCATCTCAGCCTCCCAAAATGCTGGGATTACAGGCATAAGCCACCACACCTGGCTGTTAATATCAATCTTTTATAGATTTATTGTTTGGTGTTTATTTCTCTTTTATCCACTTTCTACTATTTGAGGTGTGTGATTATTTTGAAGGAAGAGAAAGTAGCTAGATTGTTTTTCCAGATTTCTCCTTCTCTTGTTTTTTTTTTTTTTTTTTTTTTTTTTTTTGAGATGGAGTTTCGCTCGTTACCCAGGCTGGAGTGCAATGGTGCGATCTCGGCTCACCGCAACCTCCGCCTCCTGGGTTCAGGCAATTCTCCTGCCTCAGGCTCCTGACTACCTGGGATTACAGGCACGCGCCACCATGCCCAGCTAATTTTTTGCATTTTTAGTAGAGACGGGGTTTCACCATGTTGACCAGGATGGTCTCGATCTCTTGACCTCGGGATCCGCCCGCCTCAGCCTCCCAAAGTGCTGGGATTACAGGTGTGAGCCATCGCGCCCGGCCCTCTTGTTCTTGGTACTTTCAATAAGCTCTAGGTTTTCAACTGACTGTCATTGCATAAGAGTTGTTTTTCTCTATTTACATTGGTTAATGCCAGCTATTTAGCTCAGCGTGATCCTGGCATTGCTATCAAAGCAAATGTAGACTAAAAGAGCAGTTGCTTAGATAGTTATTTAGATCTCTTTTTGTCAGGATTACGTGTATTTATCCTGCACACTGAAAACCCCTAAATCTGGCTAAACATGCGTACGTATGTAAAAGTTTCAAAGATCCTAAAAACCTTTCACCCACAGAGACCTTAGTTGGAAGACCATGCTGAGCCACATTTAGATCTGGAAATGATCCATCACAATCTCACTGCTTAACATAGTTGGAAACCATGCAGTCGGGCAGGCATTGCCTCTGTAGGTGCCGTGGGAAAAGGTCAAGGTCAGAACTTATTTTTGCTGGACAAACAGTGTGGAGTCAGGGAAAGGTAACTGAATCTCTGAGTCAGAAGTGCTAGATCGCAAGCTTGGCCATACTGCCTGCCAGTGACTACAGAAACGCTGAAATTTTGTATCTGCAAATGGGATAATGGTAACCGTCTACATCAAGGCATTGTTGTGAGAAGATGAAGACACCGGGCGTGGTGGCTCATGCCTGTAATCCCAGCATTTTGGGAGGCTGAGGTGGGTGGATCACCGGAGGTCAGGAGTTTGAGACCGGCCTGATCAATATGGTGAAATCCCATCTTTATATTTGAAAAAAAAAAAAAAAAAAAAAAAAAAAAAGAAGATGAAGACAAGTTATATACGTGTGATACTTTGACTTCTCAAAACCTCTTTTTTTTTCCTTCTTTGAAATAGGGTCTCACACTGACACCCAGGCTGGAGCACAGTGGTGTGATTTCAGCTCACCGCAACCTCAAACACCTCTTGAAGTGATCCTCCCACATCAGCCTCTGAGTAGCCGGGACTATAGTCAAAAACCTTTTAATTTTTTTTTTTTTCTTGAGACAGAGTGTCACTCTGTCGCCTAGGCTTGAGTGCATGGCACAATCTCAGGCACTGCAACCTCTGCCTCCCAGGTTCAAGCGATTTTCATGTCTCAGCTTCTCAAGTAGCTGGGACTACAGGTGACCACCACCTTGCCTGGCCAATATTTGTATTTTTAGTAGTGATGGGGTTTCACCGTGTTGGTCAGGCTGGTCTCGAACTCCTGACCTCAGGTGATTCACCTGCCCTGGCCTCCCAAAGTGCTAGGATTACAGGTGTGAGTCACCATGCCTGGCCTCAAAAACCCTTTAGTACCTTATTTTATTTTGAGTTTTAGAGGCAGGGTCTGGCTCTATTACCCAGGCTGGAGTGCAGTGGTACAATCATAGCCCACTGCAGCTTCCAACTCCTGGGCTAAAGCCATTTTCCCCCACCAGCCTCCTGAGTAGCTAGGACTACAGGTGCATGCCACAACACTAGGTTAATTTTTAAAATTTTCTGTAGAGATGGGGTCTTGGTATGTTGTCCAGGCCAGTCTCGAACCCCTGGCCTCAAACTATTCTCCCTCCGCAGCCTCCCAAAATGCTGGGATTATAGGCATGAGCCACTGCACCCAGCCAAAAATCTTTTAATACTTCATCTTACTTTTTCCCTATGGCAAACTTTTTAAGTTGGTATTATGATTAGCTCCAGTTTATAGATAAGGAAGTAATTTCTTGAAGGCTGCTGAGTTAATAAAAATGCAGATTCTGGACTCGAGCTTCATTTTCTGGCTCCAAATCTCGGGATCATTTAATTGTACCCTGCTCCTTGTGAAAACATCTTGAAAAACACAAAGTACCTCACAATGTAAGGAATTAGCATTAATATTCTGGAAGAGATGTGTGGAACTATGCATAAATCTTCAGAAGACAGCTGCATGCGGGCAGATCGGAAACTGGAAGGAAACACCAGATTCTCTGATCCTGTCTTTTGCAAATGTTGAGTGAGCAGCTGCTTAAACCTTTCAGGACAGAAGAATATCTAGTCATTTTTCTGTCGTGTCTAAGACTAAAGCTTTTACAATCTTCTTTGGCAGACCATTCCGGCCCTGTGTTTACCTTTTCTTCATGACATAACTAATAGGTCTTTATATTCTTCATAAATAGCTCTAGGACTGGCTTTGTCATTTCACTGACTCTTCTGTCCTTGTATAATGTTCTGGGTATGCTGACTTAGGTTAGAAAAGCAGCTTGCTTTTTATGAGAATCCCAGTTTCTTTTCCATTGGTTTCTTCCTATTAGTCACCGAGGCTGGAGTGCAGTGACTCCATCTTGGCTCACTGCAACCTCTGCCTCCCAGGTTCAAGCAATTCTCCTGACTCAGTCTCCCAAGTAGCTGGGATACAGGCATGCACCACTACTCCTGGCTATTTTGTGTTTTTAGTAGAGATGGGGTGTCACCATGTTGGCCAGGCTGGTCTTGAACCCCTGACCTCAAGTGATCTGCCTGCCTCAGCCTCCCAAAGTGTTGGGATTACAGGCGTGAGCCTGAAGTTTGGTTTTTCAACATTGATTCTAAAAACCCAAATTGAT